GAAGACAGAGTCTCGCTTTGTTGCCGCCAGGCTAGAGGTGAGTGCCGTGGCGTCAGCCCTCGCTCACAGCAACCGCCAATCTCCTGGGCTCAAGCAACTCCTCCTGCCTCAGGCCTCCTCGCCCCGAGTATCTGGGACACAGGCATGCGCCACCACGCCCGGCTAATTTTTCTAAATAATATTAGTTGGCCGATAATTTCTTTATTTTTAGTAAGAGACGGGGTCTCGCTCTTGCTCAGGCTGGTCTCGAACTCCTGACCTTGAGCAATCCTCCCGCCTCGACCTCCCAGAGTGCTAGGATAAAAGTTTCTTTTAAGTACTATAATCTGCGTTACTTGCCTCAAGTTAGGACTATGAAATATTCCAAACACGAAGTTAAATTTAGAAGGAGACTAATATACGTAACCTTAACATTTGTACCCGCCCACAATCCCGGGAAACAAAAAAGAAAAAAAAACAAAAGAGAGATGAGGAAGAAATGAAAATAAGGAATGTAACACATTTCTAAACCGAGTCATGGTATCATTCTCTCTACCTCAGGCCTACCAGAACCTCATTGCCAAATTGCTTTCCAATTCTAAAAACTAGGTAACTATTTTCAAAATTATACAACGGTAAAGAAAAATTCTATAAATATACTATATAATTAGTATACTTAAAAAGTAGAAAGGAAGTTCATCATAAAAATATTTATTTTGATAACTGACGTAGCTCGTATTCATGAAGCTAAACATCTAACTCAGCAGTTCTCTCAAGTTTTAACATTCTCCCATATTGGCATCGTCAAATTTTAACGAAATGCAGCATCACATAAAAGGCTACTTCTTTCAATCCTGCTGCCTTTGGCGGCTGCCTGCTGCCCTCTGATCTCTCGTCGGGTGTCGGGCAGGTGGGAGGGGAGGAGGGGACGGGTGTAGACAGACACGACGAGTGAGACGTGCACCATCTGGGGGATGGGCACGCTTGAGGCTCTGACTCGAGGGGGGAGGGGGAGCAAGGGCGATATACGTAACCTTGACATTTGTACCCCCCATCATATGCTGAAAAAATAAATAAATAAATTGGCAAAGATGCAAACAAACAAATGAACAAACAAACAAACAAAACATAGTGACTATGGGAAAGCAAATCTAATCTTCTAATTTCCTAGTGACATTTAAAGATAGTCACCTTAGAGAATTGCAATGGAATTAAGACCTCCAGTTATAAGTGGCCGGGCGGGTCAACCATGTTCAGTTCTAAGACCATCTGATAATTTCCTGGTACATCCTCTCGACAAGGCGAAACGAAAACAGGAGCAGATGAAGTTCTCCTTTTATTTCCTGCCCACACGTTATGTGGAAAAACCTAGTGCTTAGGGAGTAGCTGTTCCCCTCAGAGAGTTCAGACAGTTTAGCCACGTGTAGCTGTGGACCTCATAAAACTCACATGTCGTTTTTGCTGACAGTGAATTAAAACAGACAGAAACCTCACGAATAGTGTATATTTTATAGAACTACTTGAAAATGCCTGTCCGTTTGGCAAATGGCTTTTAAAGCAAGCTTACGACACGAAGAATTAGATCTATCTACAGTGATGTCGTATTCTATCATAAATAGTTTTCTATGACACCATTCATTCAGGGTCTGTTTTTCAGATTTTGAAAAGTAAGCCTTGATACAACGGCGTATATCCTACCCACTGCAGTAATCACATCGCAAATTCAAAGGCCCAAATAAACGACTACATATTTTTTAAGAGTCGGTAAGCTGCGAGTCTCATGAGATTCCAGTTTCCAAATCATTGACCACCAAACTACCATTAAATGTTATCTATGTAGCATACTCATAAAAGGCAAATATAGGACCTTTTCTAAGGAAAAAATCACAGTGATGTAATAAAGATCACTGGAGCAACAATGCAGAGAAAATAATACGCTCAGAGTGGAGCTATCTCATCTTCCCAAACCCAAATCCACCAACCTACCGTGTTTCCCTGCAAATAAGACAGGGTCTTTCTTATATTTATCTTTCTTCAAGAAGACACCCTGGGGCTTATTTTCAGGGGATGTGTTACTTGTTTTAAGTACGGTACAACCATCTGCATTGATTCAAATACAGTGAAGTCGTCTTCTTCTGGAACATCATCCTCACTCTCCAGACCCCGAATCCCATCCTGAATGTCTTGCGACTCTGTTTCCTTTAGAGCCACTGGCCCCGATCCCTCCTGTCGAGCACTAGAGCAGCCACGCCCATCACTAGGGCTGATTTTCGTAGCCACGCCCATCACCGGGGCTGATTTTCATAGCCACGCCCACCACCAGGACTGATTTTCATGGCCACGCCCATCACTAGGGCTCATTTTCATAGCCACGCCCGTCACTGGGGCTGATTTTCATAGCCACGCCCATCACCAGGGCTGATTTTCATAGCCACGCCCATCACCAGGGCTGATTTTCATAGCCACGCCCATCACTAGGGCTGATTTTCATAGCCACACCCATCACTAGGGCTGATTTTCATAGCCACGCCCATCACTAGGGCTGATTTTCATAGCCACGCCCATCACTAGGGCTGATTTTCATAGCCACACCCATCACTAGGGCTGGTTTTCGGGGTGGGGCTTCTATTGCGCACATGCTCAGACATCCTGCTGGGGCTTGTTTGATGGGGAGGTCTTATTTTCGGGGAAACACGGTACTTGGCAGATTTGCCTTGTTCCGACTTATCTGCGGCAATTACTCTCTTTCTCCCATGTTCCAACAATACCCTTTTCTCTACTGGGTCATTCCTATTAACATAATACAGGTTAACTCTCTTCAATTATTTAACCAAAGTATGATATTTCTCCCCCCTCTCTGAAACACACTGAGAGTGTTGTCTACTAGGATACTTTCAATGGACTTATAGTGAGGAAAACTCCAAATGTTTTGTTGAAAAAATACTAGTAGAACAAATCCCCTTAAAACACGCATTTTTCTTTTGCTCTAAATCTTTCATCACGCTGCTCCCGATTGTTTTCTGCAAGCCAGTCGCCGACTACGGTCTCAGCATGGGTCCGGGTATCCGTTCCACTGGATTAAATACGATCTGGAACCTCTTAAGACTTAGGAAGACTGTCAGGCGCAGATACCACATTAAGGATGCATGAAAGCAAAAACCGTTATTCCCAATAATATCGACAATCTTTACACATTTGATCGAGCACGGAATTTTAAAAAGCAGAAAACATAAAAAAAATAAATAAATAAATAAATAAAAATAAAAAGGCACGTTCCGCTTAGAGAATTCAAAATCACGTCTTCCCGCTATGTATGTAGTTTTCTCTCACGCCGCCCAAGATGGAACTATAAGGTAGACTATGGGGACTGGCTCCTAGGAGTCCCATAAAGTCAGGAAGGGTAAGGGGCATGTGACAAGTGAGGCTGAAAGGAAGCAAAAGTTTGCACTTAGAGGAAGCCCAGAGTTGAAGGTGCCAACCCACCTGCCAAGTGTAGGTATTTTCTCTGCAGTAAATGTTCACAACCCCAATTTTTTCTTTTTTTTTCTCATTTGGCTCCTTCTCCTTTGGCTATAAATGGGAAAATGTAAAAATTTCTACACATGTTCTTGTGAGATCTAAATAGCAGCGAGCCATGTCTGTACCCCTCAGGAATGACTTTTCAGGCAAGACAGTAAAAAGGTTGTCCTTTAAATGCTAACTGCGCCTTCGGTGTTTGCGTTTTAAGCCGGTGGTGCGACGGGTACTCACGCTCAGTTTTCCGTTGCGATTGTCTTCTTCTCGAGTGGCCAGGGCCTTCAAGAAATTGTCATGCAGGTCTTTCCCGGCACTTATTAGTGCCCTGTAAAAAAAACCAAACAAACAAAAAAAAAAAAACAAAAAAAGCAGGTCTTTGTTATAATATACAAGATAACAAGCATGTTTACAACATTCTGGGGCCCCAAACCATGCTACCTTATTCCAAGCCCCAATTCCCTTACAACATGGAACCCATAAACACACCGATCGTTGTGATCTACTATCAATAGATTCCTTAATTTCATGCAGCTGTTGCGTCTTTGTTTACAAATAACTGGAATCAAGTCTGTGAGTAGCATACACATCCATATCAAGACTCGTGTCAGGGCCGGGCGCGGTGGCTCACGCCTGTCATCCCAGCACTCTGGGAGGCCGAGGCTGGAGGATCGCTTGAGGTCAGGAGTTCGAGACCAGCCTGAGCAAGAGCGAGACCCCATCTCTACTAAAAAAAAAATTAGAAAGAAATTAATTGGCCAACTAAAAATATATATAGAAAAAATTAGCCGGGCATGGTGGCGCATGCCTGTAGTCCCAGCTACTCAGGAGGAGGCTGAGGCAGGAGGATCGCTTGAGCCCAGGAGTTGGAGGTTGCTGTGAGCGAGGCTGACGCCACGGCACTCACTCTAGCCTGGGCAAGAAAGTGAGACTCTGCCTCAAAAAAACAAACAAACAAACAAACACAAAAACACTCAACCTCTGACTGTTTAAAAATAACTCATTTTAATTACATAAGTATTAATCATACGGTCTCCCGGGAAATCCTTAGGATATCACAGATAAATTCCAACCTGATCACCAAGCCAATCACGCAATAGCATCTTCTTCAGAAGGGTGAGCGGATTTCACAATTTGCAAATTTCAAAAAATCATTTGCAAATTTCACTAAAATCATAAAATACTGTTCTCTTCTGACTGTTACTACATTCTTACACACACAGACGTGCACCGTCGCCTACGAACTCCAGGAGGAAGAGAGCGGTATTTTCATTACGTTAAGTTGGGAACAGAGAGGATAAGGGGCCCATGGCCCCAAAGCTATTTGCAGCAGAGGAAAAAAGAAAAAAGTTATGTAAATAATCGTTCTTACAGCATGCTACACTGAGAACCCGAAACTTCTCAGTAAAAGGAAATATCGGAAAAGTAGGAAAGCTAACGCAGAGTGGGTGGTGAGGAATTCTTACTTCTTTAACACGCATTACTCTTACTTAACTAGGTTTATTTAACAGGCAGTGGCCTGAGAAACCTCGCTTAAATAAATATTACAAAAGGAGTCACTTCCTCAAGAGGTAAAGTAGGGTCTGTTACAAAATCTTAGGGCTGTAAGTTTTATGAAGGCAAATACTCCATCTTTGGTTTATACTCCACTCCACTTTCAAAATAGGGCAAAAAGTTATACGGATGAGTTAACTGTTACCAGCCGAGTTTAACCATTAGCTAAAGGTATTCACATAATCCTACTTGAATGATTCCAAACATATTCTTGATCCTCAACAATGAGGCTACTGGTTTTGCGATTTAACCATGTCGTTTGTGTGTCAAATCACACAGATTCACATTCGGCGATTTAACACTAGAAGAGAAAGGACAAATAACCAAAGAAGGAAAAAAAAACCCTGAAAAATGGTTAAAGTAGAAACTTATCTTCAAGAGTCATTTTCTTTAGGCTGAGCGAGGTGGCTCACGCCTGTCATCCTAGCGCTCTGGGAGGCTGAGGCGGGAGGATTGCTGGAGGTCAGGAGTTCTAAACCAGCCTAAGCAAGAGCGAGACCCCGTCTCTACTATAAATAGAAAGAAATTAATTGCCCAACTAAAAATATATAGAAAAAATGAGCCGGGCATGGTGGCGCATGCTCGTAGTCCCAGCTACTCAGGAGGCTGAGGCAGGAGGATCGCTCAAGGTCAGGAGTTCGAGACCAGCCTGAGCAAGAGCGAGACCCCCGTCTCTACTATAAATAGAAAGAAATTAATTGGTCAACTAAAAACACACATAGAAAAAATTAGCCGGGCATGGTGGCGCATGCCTGTAGTCCCAGCTACTCAGGAGGCTGAGGCAGGAGGATCGCTTGAGCCCAGGAGTTGGAGGTTGCTGTGAGCGAGGCTGACGCCACAGCACTCTAGCCCAGGCAACAGAGTGAGACTCTGTCTCAAAAAAAAAAAAAAAAGAATTATTTTCTTTGGCACTCACTTACTCTGACAATAAAGTGTTTCGCTACATATTTGTGACATTAATCATCTTAGAATTTTAAATGTATAATTATGGGAGTGTTTTAATAAACAAGGTTTCATTAACCATTAAGGTGTATATATATTAAAATAATACACTCATTATACAGTTACTTACCCTTTTTTAAAGTATGAAATATATCAAGCACACTCACAAAAAAAACAACACAGCAATTACATATAAAGTTTAATATTTATTATAAAGCCAACCCGTGTACCTCATCACCTAGGTCAAGAAATCGAACAATAACTAAAACACCCTAAGGCTAGAAAACCTAATCACTCCTTTCTACTCACAACTCCATCCTTACATCTTCTCCACCTCGAGTAACCAATTTCTCACTTTTCACGTATTCAAAACCATGATTTTTCTCAGTCTCTAACTTTCACAATCATCTCTCCCTTTTATCATTTACGTCTGAACCCCTGAGCAAAATAATATGATTTTGCTTGTTTTTGAACTTTCTTATAGATGGAATCACAACGTGTGTCTTTGTGGTATTTCTTCACTTATGATTGTTCACGTTCCGTGCATGCTGATATACGTAGCTTTACCTTATTTCCATTCTCTTGTAGGAATGCACAAGTATTTATTTATCCTTGCAATCACAGACCTCGGAGTTGTTTCTCATTCGGTCTAGTACAGACGTACTGCTGGAGATTCCTGTACCTATCATAAATTCCTGAATATAAACTTCTCCACGACCTACGGCTAGCAATGGAACAGCTGTGTTACAGGATGTTTGTGACTTCAAACTCTCAAAATAATGCCACTTTGCTTCCAAAAGATTGAACCAATTTACGCTTCCACTACCAAAGCACGATGATTCCTTTTGCTTCCCATCATTCCCGACACGAGGCATTTCCGAACTTTTTAACATTAAGCAATGCAGTGTGTGTGTGCTAGGACCTTAGGATGCTTTTAGTCCGCATCTCTCCGATTTATTTTTGTGCGACATTTGGTCACATGAAATTTCCTCTCGTGCAAAATGCCCATTCCCGTCTTTGGCCCACTTTACTATTGCGTTGTTTTATGTCGTACTGATTTGCAGCAGTTCTTCACGGATTCTGAATATTCGATCTTTTTTTTTTTCATTATATGCACTGCAGATATATTATTCTATACGTAGCTTGCATTTTTACAAGGGCCCCATTTTGCAAGGGCCCCCAAGGGAACATTTTTGCGAGCTAAGAAACGGTTTAGTCGCACAGGAAACTGGGAGTCACCAGGAATGGAAGCCACGGCAATAGATGGGAAAGACCAAGAAAAACACGACAAATGCAAGACCACTGGCATGGAAGACCAATGGAAACATGCCAGTGTGAGATACCGTCATGGCTGAGGCTAGGCAGAGGCGGATCCATGAGAAATAGTCAAGAGAGGACCCACCGAGGCAGAAGGAGTACCAGGAGAGAGGAGTGACATGGCAGGAGCTGAGATAGCGTTTAGAAGGTGCCAGGACTCCAGTGACGAACGCTATGCAGAGATCCGGTCAGGGGGAAGAAGAAAGCAGCAGCAGACCTGGCCTTTCCCAGAACTCTTATTTCCCCCTTGCACTTGTCTGTTTCCATCTAGAAAAGAGAGAAAGACCACCCGAGCGAGGAAAGCTGCAACTGTAACTCACTGGGAGAGTTGGCATATGGTGCAAAAACCTAAGTCGACAGCTTCAAAATCGACTTGGCCTTTTATGGCCAAGTTAGTATAAACTGCTCGCGATAAATACCAAGGACCAAGAGCATGGACGAGGTACACTATAGTTACCAGTACTCAGGTTACCTCACAAATTATCAGACTTGGTCATTGATGCATACACATCTGTGCCTGCAGCTTTGGTTTTCAGTATGAGATTAATAATAAAAAAAAAAATCATTAAGGTTGGTGATTTTTATCTCACATGACCAAAATACAAAGCACGATATTTTATTTTCCCCTGGCTTGATTCAGCACGTCACGTGCTAAACTGACACCTGCAAGAGCTCAAAACAAGTTTCAAAATGCCGATAAAATCAGATTCTGACGCACAACGTTCTCGAATGTAATTGTGATTTGCCAATGCTGCACAATGTTGACTCGTTCATCCAGGACTAAATATTTCATAATATAAAGAAGGTGGAAGAGTAATTATAGCACAACATTTTATGAAAACAGTCATTCTCGATCAAGAATAATTGATAATAGACCATCCAGCTAGGAAAGAGTTTCAAATTATTTACCACGAGGTAAAATATTGTGCAGTTGGGAAGAACTGAGCAGAATCAAGACACCAAAGTATAACCTTAGCAAAAAAATGATCAGAAGAATTAAAATTCATCCTGAAGAATAAAAAGATTCCAAAATATTACACTTTAGATGCTTTGTTTCTCTGTTATGTTACATATAAGAAAAAATGAAGGCAATAAATATCGCATAAAGAAGTGACATCTTTAAACACTGTAGTAACTTGTTTTCTGTTTAAAAACATTGAGACAAATTCAAACTGTTTAAAAAACTCTTAGATCCCTATCTGAAGTAATAGGAATAAATGTCTCTTAGTTTTTCATATATCGATTGCAATTATATATATTTATATATAAATTATATAAATACAAAATGCTCATATATTTACATATATAAGCTTACATATTTATATTTATTACAATTAAGACTGCAATTAATTACATAAGCCCCTACTGAGAAAAACTGAGTCCACTATTAATCACAATGCACCAATTCCACTTTTAATACTTTTGTTCCCAATTTTTTTTTTTTTTTTTGAGACAGAGTCTCGCTTTGTTGCCCAGGCTAGAGTGAGTGCCGTGGCGTCAGCCTCGCTCACAGCA